TACTATCTACTTATTAACCAGTAACTGTGTTACCACAAGGAATGACAAATGCATAAATGTTTACCATAGGATGACAATTGATTAGAAATTAATTTCAGTAATTTACCTAAAAAAAACAACTCCTGTCCAAATGACAAATTGATTATAGTTATCAGATTATATTTCAGATTTCAGAATTAGCATATAACTGAAAGAGAACTCAAGTTGGATTACCATATGAAATTGATTTTTTTACCTCATAAACCAAGATTGATGGGAACAGAGATAGAGCAGAGCAAAACCAGACAGAGCAAAATTACAGGACTTCTGAGGATAGATGAGAGCGAGTAATCTGATATGGTAGAGGAGGAGGAAATTTCACATTCTTCTGAAGAAATGAGTTAACATCTGAGACCCACTTCCATAACCCATACGGAGAATTTCAATCCTTCTAAAGAAAGACTAGCCACTAGTTTTTGCAGAAATTCCCGGCGAGCTATGGTGGAGGAGGAGGATGGCGGCGAGAGGTCAGGATAGGCGAGGGAAGACAGACGAGGATAGACGACGATGGCGGCGAGAGTTGAGGACAGACAAGGGAAGACAGAAATTCCCACTTTTCCATTTTTTTTTATTTTTTATTTTTCCAGCTGTGTTTACACATCAGCTGCCACCTCATCACCATGTCACTGGGGGTCTGTAGTGGGATTGTATATATTATTGGAAAATGTTTTGGTCTCAAATTTTGTATCCTGAAATTTGTCAAGAATATGAGTGAAGGGTATAGATGAAAAGTTCGTATGATATCAACTATACTCATAATGAATCTCATCCACACAATTTGATTATGGGTAATTTTTTGGATTTTTGGATTTTTTGGATTTTTTGGGTTTTTTTTTTTTTTTTTTTGAGGGGTTCATAGTATTTTTGTATCTTATTTAGTATATATGGGCTTAATATGAGTCTCTAACATCGATTCACGGGACAAGTTTTTGAAGGAAGATTTAAAAAGCCCATTGGTCGGGCCATGAACCAGCCCACAGGCCTTACCCCCAGTCCAAGCCCAACCAGTATGTTTTAGAACGAGCCCAACCTATCCTCAGGCTTGGGCCGGCCCAAAAGCTTTTTGATGAGACTTCTATTATAAATGACCAGTGCTGCTCCATGCAACCGTAAGTTAACAAATCAAAGACTCCTTCCATTGATTTTGTTCACACACTTTATTTACAGTGTGTGCACAAATTGTCTCTAAACAAATCACAAATTATATTTATTATTTACCCACTTTGTCACATTATGTGAACAAAACCAAATTGCTTATGATACAGACTTTTAAAATGTTTGCATGAAAGCTACCTTAGTTGTCACTTTTCTCCTATTTGCAATATAAATTTCCAAATGGGATTACAATAAAGGTTTAAATAATGCATATTACTTTTCAAGGCTCCAATAGAGGAAAACCATATCTAGCACTTAGATTTAATTGTGTCATAAGATTCTTAGTTCTATCAAATTTTTTATTCTTTACATGTTGTCACATTGTCATTATTTAAAAATTAATTTTTGACTCATTACTTAAATCGCTTAATATTTAACATTTCTCATGTTCTTTCAAAATTATACATTCCAATGAAACGACTAATAAGAGAGGTTACTATTATTCAAATCTTAACTCATTTTAAAATGTAGAAATTATTAGACGAGTCTGCAATCACACACGATTGTGATAATGTTTATTGATATGCCTACATTATTGAACAGTTATATAACCAACACGATATTTTAAAAAAAGATAATCACTTCTAATTTTGCTATGAACGTAGAAACCAAACACAAATACATATAAATTGATCGGATTTTATAAAGTTTGTTAGTAAAATCCACTTTAAAAACCCTTATCCATTTATATATATTTTTTGTATCTGATTCTATAACGGTACACGTACTCAACCATGTATATAAGAAGTCAACCAAAATGGACAAACCAAGCCTTTTTGTCATAACATTCTAGAAATTAATGATGTCTGATGAATCTCATACATCTTTGCAACTACCCATTATAGATATCTCTCTGCCATTGCAATCACCATCTTCTCTCTCATCTCTCTCTCAAGCCTGCAAAGAATGGGGTTTCTTCCACATATCCAACCATGGAGTTTCCAAAGAACTATGCAACAAAGTTAGATCACTATCTAAATACCTTTTTAGCCTTCCTGTTGAGACAAAACAAAGCTTGGTCCTTTGTCTAGTGTAAAAACATACATTCCTCATTGCATTGCCTCTGCTTTCTTTGAGAGCCTTAGGGTCTCTGGACCAGACTTTGCTGCCTCTGCTCAGAGCTCTGCAGATGTTCTCTTTCACCACCACAATTCTGAATTCAGGTATTTAATATAATAATTCTAGTTTTGTTGAAGATGGGTTTACTGTAAATGTAAATGTGAAGATACGTATTAAATTATTTACATACGTATTAATTATAAATTTTTATAAATTATTTTTGAATAATACATACGTATTATAAAATGTGAAGATGGGTTTACTGTAAAAAATTTTAAATAAAAAATGTAAAGATTTAAATACATACGTATTATAAATTATTACAACAAATTTTATAATACATACGTATTATAAATTATTTTTGATTATAAAAATTGCAAAAATTATTTTTGATTATAAAAATTTTTACTTTTACATACGTATTATAAATCAAACCATCTATAACCAAAAACTGATTTATATTTACGAAAATTATAAAAATTATATAATTGATTATTATAAATTATTATTATATATAAAAATTATATTATTTCAATGCTTCAGTGTGTGTGGGTGTGTTCGTATGTCAAAGTGAGAGTGTGGGTTGGTTTTGGTTTTGGTTTGTGTTGCAACTGTAAAAACGTTATTTGAAATAACGTTTTCTAAAAAAATAAAAAAAATTTATACGCACAGTGAAAGCTCGATTTCAAATAGCGTTTTCTTCAGAAAAAATTTTTTATGCTAAAAGCGCGATTTGAAATAGCGATTTCTTAATTAAAAGTGCGTTTTGCAATAGCGCTTTCACTATTCATCAAATTTTGGGCTCCAAACAGTGAAAGCGCGATTTGTAATAGCGCTTTAGCTTAGTTTGGGAAATCCGTCCAAACTAGGCCTAGTTTGGGAAATAAGATACAAAAGAGGCTTAATATGGGAAAAGCCTCCTCAATCCACCACATTCTCTCTCTATGAGGTGATTTTGGACTTCGTCGGCGTTGGATCTCCTAACCGACAATGAAGATTTGCATCAACGGTCTCTGATAATTGTCGATCGTTGTAAAGAGATCGATCGTGGCGAACTGGGACTCCTCGCGAAGAACCACAACTATGATCTAGTCACTACCTTTGCAGTTCTGTCGTCACAATTCCAATATAGTCATCGCCTCTATAGATTTGAAAACAAATTTGCTGTTTAATTGCGACAAACATTAGTATACTAAGAGTGATTGATTAATAAATTAGTATACTAAGGCTTTTTGAAGTTGTTTTCTCAACAATATCAGAGCCTCTGTTATTATACAATAGTTGTATTTCATTATCTTTATACAATACAAGTAATTTTTCAATTTCTTCCTTGTTTTCTTGAAATTATTGTAACTCAGTGGTTGAATAAGATATAAAAAATTAGCTCTATTTAGACAAATTATTGCATTTCTCTTAAATTGAATTGAATTTCAACAGATAGATAGTTGGTTTCTACATATCAAATTTATTTTAACAAATAAAAAAATTGAATTGTTATTTTAACAGATAAAAAATTCAACAGATAGGAAAAATAATTTTAATAAATTTCAACAGATAGGAAAAATAAAAGTTTGGTAAAATTTCAACAGATAGATTAATTTTTTTTGAACAAATAAGAAAAAAATTGAACATATAAGGGAAAAGTTAGACAGATAGATACAAATTTAAACAGATAGGTTCAAAAAAATGAACAGATAAAAACAATTCTACATATAGGTTTAAGGGTAAAATTAGAAATAAAATATCCTCCAAAATAATAAAAGGGTAAATTACAAATACATCCCCTGAGGTTTGCTTAAAATATAGATTACTTCTTGTGATTTGAAAAATTATAAATACTTCATTGTTAAAATTTTTTATTTAATAGAATTAACTAAAAAAATAAAATTCATAATTGTTCTCTTTATACAATAATAAAATTACCTAAATTATTAATTAAAATATATTTTTAAAATCATTAAAAATTGTTAATTAACTTGATGATTTATTAATAAAAGGGGTGATTTGTTATGGCATTACAAATTTTAAGGGTAGAATGTAATTTTTAAAATCACATAGGGCGGTTTATATTTTAATCAAATGGCAAAAGATGTATTTTTAATTATCCATTTTAAAATGTGCTTTTCACCACAATATTTTATAAAAAATATATTTTCATAAAAAAAATATTCATAAAACCTAATCCCTTACATTCTCTTTAAAATTTTGCCAATTTTTTTTTCTCTTATTTGTTAGTCGAATGTGCTATTTGAAAAAACAGAGGGCTCTAAAATTGGGTTAGGGTGGACCATCTGTTTTGCTAAATTGACCACAAACAACGGTCAATCAATCTGACGTGTCCGTTGCCACATAAAACCTCTCATTTCCAGTAGGGACCACCACGTGTGGTGGGACGAAAGCCGATTTCGCGTCCAGCGAAATTATTGTTTTTTACACACCACAATACCAACCAATTAACACATAAATTGATTGTACTTTCATTTGGAAATAGCTAGACAATTTCTGGCAATAGCAAGATCATTTCTGTTTATTACAGAAAAAATTTCCATTCGTCTCCGCGGGTGAAAATGACCCCTGTCCCTGCTTCGTTGTCAACATTCATCGCAATTTTTCACAAAACCAGAGAGAGAGAGAGAGAAAGTGTATAAGGATCGTGAGATTTTAGAGAGAGAAAGAGGGGGAGTATGGAGAATCAGGAGGAGGACGACAAGGTGGCGCCGCTGGCGGTGGCGGAGGCGGAGGCGGAGGAGGAGGCGGTGGAGGAGGTGACGGAGGAGCTAGGTTCGAGCTTGACTCTCGAGAGAGTCGCTGTTGCAAAGCAATTCATCGAAAGCCACTACAAAGCTCATATGAAACACATCAAAGAACGCAAAGAAAGGTACCAACTCATCATCATCATCAACAATTGCTCCTCGCATAGTCAACAAAATAGGCATATACGCACCTATATACGCATATTTATATGTACATGTTAATGTATTTCATATAATATTCAACGAATTATTCACTAATCATCTCTCTAAACATTTGCATGTGTCTCTGTTTTTTGATTTTGCACTAATCATTTCATTGCGTCCCATTTTTCTACCAATTGTGTCTTCATTTTGGTTATAGCTTGTAAAGGCAGGTTTTTTATTCCGATTATGCCTTAAATTGAAGCATGACATTTGTAATTTGTGATTTCATGGCCATAATTCTATATAATTCAATGCTGGGTTACAGGGACCAGGTTTGGTTGTGGTAGTATCAGGTGCAAAATTTCTAGGGATTTAATTGGTAAAAAAATATTAATGTAGGGATTGTTGATTGTTTAATGTAGTGATTGTTGATTGTTTCTAAGTTTATGTGGCTCGGGTGGCGGTGTGGAGTGAGGTAAGTTATGTTAAGGAGCAGATAAAGTCAGGTCAGGTAAGAAAAACCAAATTTGGGATTGGCTTGGGGACTGTTGTGCAGTTAAATGGGCCTATTTTAGGGCCCATTTCGATAATTCTAACGGTCTCTATTTTAGAATACATCGAGTAAAACATATCTGCAACAATGTAGTTAATTGGATATTGTTAACTCTTTCGTCCATGCACATTCGTATCTACAAAAATAAGTGATAATTGTAATTTAAAATATTAAAATGAATACAAATGTGCGTGGATGAAAAGGTTAATGATATCCGATTAACTTGATTTGTTACAGGTATGTTCTACTTGATATACTCTAAAATATAAACGGTTTGGATCATCGGAATGAGCCCTGAAATGGGCCCATTCGGCTGCACAGCAGTGGCTGCTGTGCCCCCAGCACAGCAGCCACCCCAAATCTGCTTGTGAAGTATATATGGGGGTGTCAAAGTATAATGTGGGTTTAAGGGCAAAATGTAAAAGGCATGTTTGTCATCCCTGCCATTACAAAACCCTTAATAAAGCTCATGTCACATGTATTTGAGCAATTGTTGATGTTGATCTCAAAGACTGTGAGTCTGTGACTCTTACCAAAATAGTGCATGCTATCAATAATTCGTAAGTAGATCAGATAGCCATGACAAATTCACAAGAAGTTAGTTTTACAGAGTTAGCTTGCCCATATGCGATTCTAATTTCTGATTTATGCGCTTGCATGCAAGTGAAGAAGTATCTCTAGAGAGATGGATGATTGATCAATATTCGAAAAGCTTTGCAAATGAACCTAGTAACTATGGCTACACTGCAATGCATGGGATGTGTCGTCATGAGTACCAAGGATGTTAAATCACATAACTCATGGATGAATCTGTAGGGATTTAACTATTTGTAGTCATGTCTTATTGTTTCATGTTTTTGTGTCGACTTGAGATGTAAGTTTCTAGTGGGGAGATAAAAAAGTTGAAAGAAGCTACATAAAATTGGCATTCCACTTGAATCTTAGAGAGAGCAAAGGAAAGCAAAGCAAAATGCTCAAGTCAGAAAGAAACTATTTTTAAGTGATGCCCTTTCCTAGTTCTCTTGGAGAATACCTTAGATATACGTGAAATTCAGTCCATGATACTACGAATAAAATTACTGCATCCCTGGTGAGCAGAGCAGATTATGGAGGTAACAATGTATACCGTAGTTTAGAGGAGCATTGATATGTTATATTTTTTCACCAGCCCTGCAAAATAATGGGCTAGTGAAGAGAATAGTTCTTTCAGTCTAAGTGGGTGAATGAGTTGTTGCTAGCAAAGTACCTAATTTGGGCTTATTCACGATGTACAGTTGTTTTCTACTTCTTTTTCCTTCGGCCGTTTGACATTTTGCCTTAGTTGCTATTTGCTACCAATTGACTTGATGGATGTTTTAGCATAGTAGAAAGAGGAATGAAGGACAAAATTTGCTGTGCTAGCCAGTTGAAACGTGGTCTTGCGTTTTGATTTTGACCACTAAAATCATATTAAATTACTCACCATGGGAAATATAACATCAAGTAGATTCTTGAGGGGATTTTTGTTTTTAATGTAATGCAAACAAGGGTTCTGTACCTATTTGTAAAAAACAAAAAGAAAAAGAAAACACCTTGTATATCCACATTTATGAGATAAGGTGGAATTGTCAACCTGTCAAGTAAACAAGTACGGATGGTTTCGTTTGAACTCAAAACAAAGGCTGTACTTCTTGAAGTTGACATAGATGGTCAGAAGGTCCCTAGTTCTTGTTAAAACTATACAAAAGAATGATCTTCTCAACTAATAAAAGCACATCCCTTCCTGGCCTACCATTTTGCACTTTGAATTCCACAAATACCATTTTCCTTTCTTGCATATAACTTAGTTTTATTTTCCAATTTTCCATTAAAAACATCACAATACAATGGTTACCATCATTTTTTCTCATTATCAAACTTTTTGGAACTGCCATCTTTGTAGTATGGCTTCTTGCAGCCTACTTAGAGAGATGTCCTCTTATATCTCGTACTGGCACCTGCTTTATATGGCCCCTATCACAACTATTGCAGTCCACTTTCCTATCCAGACGTACATATATGTCCTATTAGCCTATTCCATTTTTAATAGGTAAAATTTATATATTAGAAAAAGTTGTGCAGTGGGCACCACCCACCGACAAATGGGGAAAAATAAAGTTAAACCTTATTTACATCACCTCATGACTCCACCGAGTCAACAAAATCCAAAAAAGATCCACCCCAACTATACAAAAGAGTCTAAAAGTTTAATCGTTATAATATGCACCAAAGCCTCCACATAGTTAAAAGATCTTGTATTTCTCTCCTTCCACAAACACCAAATCAACCATAAAGGTGTTCCACACCTTTCTTCTTCTCTTACTTGTCATAATAGCTCTCCAACCTTGAAGGAGCTTTAACACCATTCTTGGAAAAACTAAGAAATTCCAAACAAACAAAATACAAGACTCCATAACTCTCTAGTCATCTCACAATGAATGAGAAAGCGTTCCGTTAATTGTCAATATAGATGCCTTGCACACACAACACCAATTTGGAAGGATATTCCTCCTTTTAATATTGATATTAATACTAAGGATATTTCCTTTAGCACCTGCTCCATATGAGAGATATTATTTTTTCCAACCTACAAGTCTTTTATGCAACCTTTGAACATCAATGTCCCAAATTGCTTTGGTTATAACCCTCGAAGTGACCTTCACATGCCAGAGCCAAATATCATCCCAAAATTTTATGCGCCAACTATCAGCATTATATATTCGACTCATTAGAAGAGTTTTCCTATTCCATCCTTCTGTTCTTCTACCGTCCCATTCTGTATGAGCTTTCAATTTGAAATCCTGCTACCCTTCTCGTTGCCACACTTCCTCTCCGCCACTTTCCTTTGTGCACTTCTCTTCTCCACCTCATGACACTGAATCACTCCCTCAACAAGGCTTGATTAAGTGGTATAACCTCTTAACATCCTACAACCCCCCACCCCCCCTTCAAAAAACATGCAACACCCCATTCAATGAAATGCTAGGTAAATTTCTTCACTAATCTTTTGCATCAGAAGTACTTTGAAGCTTGTTGAAACTCTGAGCCACCAATGTAGGAGCAGTAAGAACAACTTAAATTAAGTAGGGAGCTTCACATGGTGCTTTTAATGGGGAGTAAATCACCCACCATTTGATAAGTATTGTTATTTTCAATCTGTTAGTCTCCTCTTTGACTTTTCAAATTGAGATTCACACCACTTATTCATTGAAAAATGAGCCTCAAAGGAGCTGAAGTAGGAGGTAAAGACTCATATGCTACCTACTAGTGGCCACCTCAACCACTTCACTCCATACGTAACTCCTCAATCAACTACAACATAGCACCTTGCATTACCCACTGGACACTGAAGCCTGGCTCAAAGACTCAGGCAGCTTGGGCACCTTTATGACCTCTTACAATGATTCACTATCTCTGGTGGTAGTTGGATCTCTCCAAACTGCAGAGCATGTATTGGAAAAGTTGAGCTACTTGTTACCAACTTCACTAGGTTTTCTCTCTAGCACACAAAGGAAACGTTTTTTTCCATTAGTATCCCTTTGAAATGAACAAGATGACCACCTGAATTGCATTTGCAGAGCTAGTTCGAAGTCTCTGTGATCGTGTGAAAAGCTCTTTGGATCCATCCATTAAGGAGGGCCCCTTTTAAGCACTTGCAAATAGCAATCATTCCCCTTTCTTCTAGATGAAATGCTGCCACCCTGGGCATCCTCATCCACCAGATCAAAGGCTCCCAATCCAATCTGGACTATCACCCTTCCATCCTTATCTTCTAAATGCAGAAACACAGTCTGGATAATCATTCAAATTGGAAGCCTGGTGTGGTGTTATCATTAAACTTGTTTTTCTTTTGCCCTATTTTCACTTTTTCTATCACTGCTTGGTAACCCTGGTGGACATGATTGGTATTATTGTTGACCGTTCCAGTGGTCTTGCTTGATATATACTCACAATTTAGATGAATAGTTCGTCGCGGTTGCTCTTTTAAAATTAAATCACCTTGCATGCTTTGCACTAATGATGCATCGTCATTGAATTAACTTAAATTGCTTGAAGAATAGTATTGGTGAAGATATAACTTTTAGATTTTGATTTTAGTTTACTTTCTGACAAGTTTTATTAATGAATTGTAGGCGCTCAGTGCTAGAAAAAAAGTTAGCTTCTTCCGAAGTGTCAGAGGAGGAACAAATGAATCTATTGAAGGATCTGGAGCGCAAAGAGACGGAGTATATGCGACTTAAACGACATAAGATCTGTGTTGATGATTTTGAGCTTCTAACCATTATTGGGAGAGGAGCCTTTGGAGAGGTCTGAGATATGACTAGTTGCATAAAAGCTTCTTTTTGTTCAATTCAGTATGTATACAATATATGCCTTTTTGGATAAGTAAAAGCAATCTATTAAGTTCCAAAAGGGGTGTAACTTCTTTTTTATCCCCAAAAAGATTATACGAATTAAAAGAAGCTCTACACAAAAATTAATCTATCCTATAAATTATAAAAGTGCAAAAGTGAATTTACAAAAATTTCCTTTACACCAAACATCATTTCATTGAGACTATATGAAAATGCCAAAAGGGGTGTAACTTATTTTTTTTTCTTCCAAAAATACTATATGAATTCAAAGAAGCACAACACAAAACTTAAGCTATCCTATAAAATATACAAGAGCAAAAATGAATATACAAAAATTTCCTTTACACCAGACATCATTTATTTGATAATCTCCTACTACCTTCTTTCCGCCTCATCCTATCCATGCTATTCTGAGGAACCTCAATCCCGTAGAGAAGTTCAAAAAACTCATCCATTGCCTCGAATTCCTAATTTTAAAGAGATCTAATAAAAAGATTCATATACTTTCTTAGAATAAGAGATTCTCAAGTAATACGCCACCAAAGCATTCTTATCGACAACAATGTTATATATCCGAGAATGCGCTGACAAAAGGATGTCTCTACACCATATTTCATACCAAAATTGTATTTTTTGACCATCACGAAGCACAAGTTCTGCATTTTTGAAAAAATTTAACCAACTTATCCAAATGCCTTTCCATAATCACACCCCATACTGTCCTTGGCTCCTCTCATTTCCTTGGATGTGACCAAGGCCCAAACTACCGTTCTCAATAAGAGTACATGCTCTTTTTCAATCCACTAGATGATATTTGAATATCTCCCCCAAATCTCCCAATAAAAATGCCTATCAAGCTTCTCCAATCTTTTATCTATTGAATTATGCATGAAAAACAAAAACTTAAGAGTATGCAGGCAAACTAGATTAAGGACTCTTAATCAGGGTAATTTTACCTCCCTTGGACAATATTGCCTTGTCCACCCTGCGGCCCACTTCTCAAATCTCTCAATAACATTACTTTACCTAATTTATGACTCATGGACAATGATTACTACTCATGTTCAACAGCTATTGAAATTACCATGATACCCTTTACTATTAAAACCTATCATAATGACACAATATATGTCCAACAATATAATAAACCAAAATAAACACAATAAAAGACTTAAAATTATTTCAAAACTTCAATCCATGATGCCTTAAATATGCTCTGTTTGAAATTCCTGATTTTCCATTTTTCTTCTTTCCGTGCTTGTCATCAAGAATGCCAGTGAATTTCAAGTACCTTACACACTAGATGTCGCTGAAGTTATATATTACTAATTTACTATAACCTAAATTTTTACAAAGTAAGTTTATTTTTATATGTATATTTAACATTTTCTATGTATTTTTAAAACTTTAATGGATTCTTACAATTCACAATTTGATTCCATTTGCGATTTAGAAAAGTAGGATTTGGATTCACCATTCAAATCATAATTTCACAACTGTGTTCTTTAGGAATGACTTGTATTTTTGTTCCTTAACTAATTTTTCATAGAACTCCAAAATTAGTATCCTAGCATTCAATATAATGTTTAGTGGTGAACTTTCTATCCTTCAAGTGCAGTGTTGATTTTGTAGAGGTGTTTAGATAGGAATGTGCTTGTTTGTCCTTTTTCTGTATTTGGTTTGCTCTCTGTATATTCTTCCAGACTTGATTTATACCTTTTGCTTTTATATTGTCGAGTTTTTTGGGTGCTTACAGAGAATTGTTTTACAGGTTAGGCTGTGTCAAGAGAAGAAATCTGGCAATATATTTGCAATGAAAAAACTTAAGAAGTCAGAAATGCTTAGCAGGGGACAGGTGAGATTAGGCATCATCATTAGTTTCTTAGTTGCTATTTAGGACTATATCTGTTTTATTTGTCATGATATACTCTTTGCTCTTATTTCTTGTTTTTCTATATTTATGGTACATTAATTAGGAATAATATAAAGAGATGTTTTTGTTTCACTCAAAATAGAAGATCTATCTTGTTATAACTAGATTTTCTTGATAAATTATTCCTGTAAAATTTTGCGGAGAGAAGGACCTCAAGTGTTTTGAGTTTGTGCTTTTATGTATAGGGTTGTAGGATTGGGACTTGTCTAAGATGATTCGTTTTCTTGAGATCTAGCACAAAGATGGGGAAGAGTTTGTGGCATGGAGATTAACTAAGTTGGGGGATCTTCTAGGTGGTCTTTCTATGAGGCTTTGATTGGTCCTTGTAATTCTTCTATTCTATTTGGAACCATAAGGTGCCTCCCAAAGTGGCATTTTTGCATGATGTGCAGTTCATGTAAAATTTCTTATTATTGACAACGTGATCCAAACAAAGCAAGTGATTTAAATTGGTGTTGCATAGGATTGAGAATGGGTAAATCACCTATCCATTGCGAAGCAGTGATCATTGGACTTTGATCCTCTCTTGATTAAAGGTGGAGTTGACTTTCCCTTATGGTGACCGAGCTTCTTCATGTCTGGTAGGCGCAAGAGTGGGGAAGAGTAGGACGAAGCTGGTTGTTGACCCCTTTATGCCTTATGTGGAGTACGTGTGGTCAGTGGAACCATAGGTCCTTTGATGGTGTAGAAGTTCTTTTGTAAAGGCTGGAGAGTTTACTTGTTAGTTTTTTGCATGGGTGGGAGACGTGATTTGTTAACCCTTCTCTTGACTAATTTTTGGATTTTGTTAGCTATTTGGTAATAGAGGAGGAGGATAGGGTTGTTTTGTTTTGCTTTACTTTTCTTCTTCTTTGTAAACGGGTGGCATTCCCTTAATGCGGTCTTTTTTTCTAAAAATGTAACTTTTACTTATAAAAAAAATAAAATAAAATTGTTGGATTATACAACTTGAATCACATGAAAATAAGTAATGTACTTAATCATGATGTTAAATTTCATTAGACTTTTTCTTGTCCTGCTCCACTGCAAAATAAAAAAAATAAATAAGAAGAGGACGAAGGATTAAAAAAATAGGGAGAGAGAGAGAGAGAGAGAGAATGGAAACAAAATTCTTTTTTCTTTATGGTTGATTGGAATTAACAAAGGACATTAAGTTTTATATTTCCCTCACAACTCGTAAGATTTCTATCATATAGTATACGTTTTAAAGGTCTTTTATGAAATATTAAGTATAGCACTGAATCTGTATTCGCTGCATGTACCGTGGGATTATTTATTGGGCTTTATTACTCAGCATTAAGAACTGCTATTTTCTCATTTTTTTAATCAAATAATGTTAGATGTCTCCCGCTGCTGAAAGAATTTGTAGATTTGCATACCTTACAGCTATAGACTGGATTTCTATTATCTGTCATGGTACGATGTGATTTGATTTTGAACAATTCTCATGGCTTCTGATGGAAGTGGTGTACTTCTTTGACAATTTCAACTTTTAAAAATTCTTGCTCACAATGTTATTTTAGGTCACATTCACGTTCACCATAACTGACAAATTTCCAATGCATTACATTGCATAATTTTGTTGCTTGTAGAAATTTCCTTGTTTCCACTGATTCTTTCTTTACACCACAGGTTGAACATGTTAGAGCTGAAAGGAATTTGCTTGCAGAAGTTGCCAGCCACTTTATAGTAAAACTTTTTTATTCCTTTCAAGATGCTGAATACTTATACCTGATAATGGAATATCTGCCTGGTGGTGACATTATGACATTGTTGATGAGAGAAGAGACTTTAACTGAAACTGTGGCTAGATTTTACATTGCTCAAAGTGTTCTGGCCATAGAGTCTATTCATAAGCATAACTACATCCACAGGTTGGTATTACCCTGTTGGTCGCACATTATTACAATATTACTAGACACTGAAATATGTACAATCAGTGTTTTATCATGAGACTAGATTTAAAGAAGTTTAGTCTTCCAACCACCAAACCACCACAACATTTGTATCTCTATTCCACAAGATTTATATATAATAATTTCTCTGTTAATACAGCTAAATTCTCATTTTTTAAGGAATTGGTGCATAAAATTTTAAATTTTCTATATATAAATAAAATAGATATACTAAAAAATATATATTGATATGTATAAATACATTTATACTGAATATACTAGTTTTTTTATAAAAGTTTTTAGGTAAATTTTCTTGTATTTTAATACCTATATTATTTATTTTTAATTTTAATATATTTATGATGTAATTATAACGTCACGGTTCAATTACGGTTGGCTTGATAGTTGAACCACTAACACGTGTCCCAGTCTTTTTCCAGTGTGCTTAACCGTTTGGGTTTTAAAAATTGTGTACAATACTTTATACATGAAACTGGCTGTTTTGACTTGCTAATCTTATTCAGGTTAACCATATCTTTTGCAGAGATATTAAACCTGACAACCTTCTGTTGGACCAAAATGGTCATATGAAGCTTTCTGATTTTGGTCTTTGCAAGCCTCTTGACTGCTCAAATCTATCTCCTATAAATGAATATGAAGTTATTAATGATGGAAATTTAAGGGAATCGATGGACGTCAATGGATGCTTTCCAGATAATGGTAATGGAAATCGCTGGAAAAGCCCCCTTGAGCAGTTGCACCATTGGCAAATGAACAGGAGGACATTGGTATGCAGTAGATTATTTTCTTATTATATATATGTGTTAGAATTTACCATAAACCTACCACCACTACCACCTCACCTACTCCACTAAACCTAACCCACTACACCACTACCACCTCCACTTCACCTACTCCCAAACACACTCCTATATAATAGGAATCCTTGTAATTGTAATATACACAACAATACATATCAATCAATAATCTATTTCTCTTTATACATTGATTTTCTACATGGTATCAAAGCAAGGTTAAAGATCTTGGTGTTCTTCGCCTTCCGGCGGGCGGCAACCTTGCCTTGACCGTCCGCCGGATCTCAACCAATTCAAACCTCCCTCTCCCTCTCGGTACCTCACTTTCTCTCTCTTCAGCTTCGGAGTCGGTGACCCAACAAACCCGGAGTGAATCGACCTCAACCTTGAACTAGGGAGAGGGTTAGAACCTTTTCAGAGGATTATAATGATTTGAATGTTGAGCCTTCGTTTGGAGAGACCCACCATTTTTCATGACTTTCTGGGTCGGAGCTGTGCCTCCGATTCGTCTCCTGCTGCGACGGTGAAGCCGGGTGTTGGCGGAGATGGGCTGTATTTGTAGTTCCGTATCATCACACCCACAATCACACCTACAACTTCTCTGCGGCAAAATCCCCTTCTTCGTAAGCCTACGTCGCTGCTTTTCCTGAAGCGCTTTTCTACAAAGTCCCGTCGGCAACTTATACATAGTCAGCACCAGAAAATTCACCAACGCACATGGACAGCAACAGCACAACCCACTGGGCGACATAATCAGTGATGATGCAGAGGAGCAGCAGGCTTACTCTTAGTGCTCCACACCCATTCTTCTTTTCTTTATTTAATCACACCCACATATTCTCTCTTTCTGCACATGCACATTATCCCCAACCATCCTTTCACTTTTGTCCAAATTCAGATTTTCCAGAGGTGCTCCAATTTTTTAGATTTTTCCAAATTCAGATTTTATCAATATATGATACCCATTTTTTTTTCTTATTATTATTATTATTATTATTATTATTATTATTCTTATTACAAAAAAAAAAAAAGCCAAACACCATTGCAAACAATTTACAAATTTGCACAACCACCCATATTTTATTCATCTCAGCGAACAACCCCGTTCACCATTTTACATAAAAATAAAAATAAAAAAAATAAAAAAAAAAACACACAAACAAAACCACCACACCCACAGTGGGATTTTCCCTTCTCTACTCTGCCGCCGGTCTCTTCTTCTTGCCTCCGTCCTGGGCGGCCCTTGACGGTGTTGCCTCCGTGCTTCCTAGACCACCAAGCAAGTTGCCTCCTCCCTGCTCCTCCACTACAGCATACGGTGGACCTCCAAATCGGAACATCACGGTGGCCTTCCGCTTCAGCTCCTTGTTTTCTGTCTCTTTAGCACACTGATTCTGCTCGCGCATCCTTATACATGCGTTGGAGCAGAGCCAGCTGGCATTTACATGCTGCACCTCATTTGTCCTACTCTGCAGCCGGTTCGACAAGTTTGTGACCGCCGTCATGCTTTCCACACATGCCTTCAAAGTATACTGATTGGCCTCCACATCCGACTGCACTGCATTCTTTTTGCTCACAGACCGCATCGGAAAGTTCAACGGAGTAAACTCCGGGGCGGCTTGGTTGAGGTTCCAGTGCCACCAGCACAGTTGTCTCCCTTGTTGACTCGTTGAGGTCGGGAAAGAGAGTGAGCAGACTCCGGGAAGATGACGCCTTTTTCTGGGCCACAGAGTATTACAGAGTATCTCTCTCAGAAATCTCTCTCAGAATATCTCTCGCAAGTTTTGTCTCAGCCTTTTGCCTCGGCCTCAGCCTCCGTTAAATAGCCGAGGCAGCCACGCACATCGCGCGCTTTGCCACTAGCCGACAAAACGGGCACGCAAGCCAAGGCGCCCACGTGCCTCGCCATCATGTCCGGCACGCCTTTTGATGAATTGGGCACGCCTTTTTATGAATTGGGCACACCTTTTGAGGGTGCGACTTTTTAAGGGTCCGACAAGACTCTGTAAACTGTCCCGACATTGATTCCGGTTAGCTCCTTCCATGGGTCCGACAAGACTCTGTAAACTGTCCGCGACATTGATTCCGGTTAGCTCCTTTATGGGTCGACAAGACTCTGTAAACTGTCCCGACATTAATTCCGGTTAGCTCCTTTATGGGTCCGACAAGACTCTGTAAACTGTCACAACAAACTGTCACAAACATTGTCTGCTAACAACGGTCCGACATGACCCATAAACTGTCTTCTACATCGGTCTGACACCACCATACCAGTGTCCTCTACAACGTTATGACACCTCCATACAGTGTCCTCTACAAACGTTATGACACACCCATACCGTGTCCTCTCACAACGTTATGACACACCATCCAGTGTCTTCACCAATGGTCTGACACGACCATACAGTGTCACCTATCCTCTTTTATTTTTATGTATTTTCTTGTTTTGTTCCTCTCTTCAAACTCAAGTTGGTTAGTTTCCTATCCTCCTTGAGTTTGCGGGTGGCTGTTAGAATTTACCATAAACCTACCACCACTACCACCTCACCTACTCCACTAACCTAACCCACTACACACTACACCCTCCACTTCACCTACTCTCCACCTACTCCTCAACACACTCCTATATAATAGGAATCCTTGTAATTGTAATACAACACAACAATACATATCAATCAATATTCTATTTCTCTTTATACATTGATTTTCTACAATATGTAGCACTTTATTACATATTTTCTTCAGATTAAATTCCAAAATCTATATGTTAGGACCAGAGGAAATGAGTATTTTAAAGATAGGACCAGGTGTATGTAAATGCATATGCCACTATACCACGTAAAAAGGGTCATTTCTTTAACATGCAGAAGATTTAGTTTCCGTGGGTATTGAAAGAAGCTAATTGATTTCAGAAAATCCTGGATCTATTTTTTTGAAAGTCACCACATTGTATTCAATGCATGTGAAGTTCTTCACCAACATAGCCTGCATTCTCATCTACCTGACCATTGAATGGAATTAGAGACAAAGTTAAGGGTGGGCAAGGGGAGAAATGGTCCACCCTAAGTTTTGTAAAAGTTTTCTATTACCCCTCTAGTTTTTAGTATTATTACAAAGTATATAAAATGACCACTAAGTATTTAAAAATTCTTTTATTGACTCTCAGTATTCTTCAATATATATGACATGACCCTTACTGTTTCACATATTTTTGTAATAGTATCAATTCTATTGATTTTATATGTAAAGGCCATTTTGTTACTCGATTATAAAAAATCATAGAGGTAACTTTTTTAATTGACAGTCTAATAAATTATACACTAATTGTAATTATACAGTCCAGAGATTGTATGAAATAATTGGGATAGTATTAAAAAATTGTATGAATCCATTTTTTTTTTATGCTTCTTTTTAAAAATTTTTTACACTATTAAAATAAGTTTGCTAAATTTTGATAGTATCTAGAGATTCTTAAATCAAAATGTCATACTTCAATATTTGGATAAGTTGTTGGGTGGGTCTGAGGAGAATTTGACACTTTATTTTTTTTTGGTGATGCCTATTCTGAGGTGGCTTTATTATTTAAACTTCAATAATGGGGTAAGCTCAGGCTGACTATAGTGTGTCCCGTGTTGCCACTTGCCATACACGTCAAAACATTGTTTCTCTCATTATTTATACTCTTAAATTTTAAGGTAAACGTGTAAGGCCAAATTTTGTTTAAGGTTCTCTTCCAGGAAGGTTATTTGGATTACATACATGACTACCTACACTAAATCATCGCAATTATTTGAGGTTGTGTTGTTAGGATATTATTGATTTGCAGTTGCAGATACAACTAATTCAGAGCCAGTTTTTTTCTTTTCAGCTATGATTAATATCATATTTCCAATATTTTTTGCCTTTGATGACCATATTTCTACGGTTCTAATTATCTTGTCATTTTCCTTTTCCAGGCATTTTCCACTGTGGGCACACCTGATTATATTGCTCCTGAAGTTTTATTGAAGAAGGGATATGGCAAAGAGTGTGATTGGTTAGTTAACTTTGATGAAGTTTTTGTATATAAATTATAGGCATTACATATCTTCCTATATTGTATATCCTCTATTTTTTATTTTTTTATTTTTCAATCCAACCATTTTCTATGTAGTATTATTTGAGCTTTATTTTATATATTAATGTTGTGCAAAGTTTTTGACTTTTCAATACTGTGCTATTAGGTTTTGAAGAGAAGCTAAAGAATAGGTTTGATCATGTCTATTTTTCTCTAAGCTTCAGTAGGCAAGTTTTCTAGAGAGGCACATAATAAATTTCATCTGGGCAAACTTGTAGTCGATCCCATTTGATTGGGACATAGGACTTAAGTTTGGTTTGGTTTGGGGCAAACTTCTTGTAGATGTACAAGTTGTACACCTCTTTATGATATGTTGTTGGTCAAGAAAAAGAATATTCTCTAGTCAAGTTATGCTTGCTAATAGAAGCCCTGTGTTGAAGATCTCTAGATGGAGTATGCAAAGAACACTTGAATGCCACAAACTTCATTATGAAAGTTTCCTAATCTTTTGTTTAGATTTATTATATTTATTATTTTTATTTATTTCTGGTGTCAGTGGCTTCGTCGGTTGGAGGAAGTTGCAGGCAAGCAG